CACTGACCAAAGGAGGTGATCCCAGCATGCTGGCCTGGCCTCTGCCCACGATGGCCCACCTCTTCCCCAACACACACTTCCCAGCGGCTGTTTCTTGCCCCTAGGCTTTTGCTCCTGCCATCCTCTCCGCCTCCAATGCCATCTCTCTGGGCTCAGCTCAAGAACTGCCTCCTCCAGGGAGCCTTCCTGGAATCCCAGACTGCGTGAGATGCCCTTTCTGGCTCTCACCACAGTGGGCCCAAAGTTGGTGTTCATTTGTCTGTTTCCCCCTGCTAGACTGTGAGATCTCAATCATATAAATGAGCCCTGAGCAAGGTAGCGTGAAAGGAGTGGTCTACCCCTGAGGCCAAGGGCAGGGCAGGGGTCAGGCTCACATAATCAGCCAGGAAGGGAATGCCATGAGGGAAGCGCTTGGGATCTGGCATCAGGCGGCCACTGGCATCGCGCCCACCGATCCAGCAGTCATCAATGTTGAGGTATGTGTAGCCCATGTCCCGCCATCCATCCTGTGCCATCCGGTCAGCCATCTCCATGAAGAGCCTTTCACTAGTGAGGGGCAGAGGGATGGGGTAGCTCAGGGACCCAGCCCGGCCCTCACCCACACCCTGCCTCAGCTCTGATTGAATCTGGGCTATAAAAACCATGACCTTGCTGAGCCCTAAGCCAGGTATCACTGTAAATGACCACCAGGGATTGTGCCATGAGCCATAAGCTGGCTTGAAAGGAGTGGCTGGCCCCAGGCCAAAAGGCAGGACTGGGTCAGGGGAAGTACGAGGGCCTGGCCTGACCTTCTAACAGTTATCTCAGGAGCTGGGTTCATGTAAGGTCTCTGCCTTGTGACCAGGTTGGGGCCTGACAGTCCCTACAGAGGCCCCAGGCAGGTCACGGGGCTAGGTGTCAGACAGTCCGAGTGACTTCTGGCTGCAGTCTCTGGGATGAAGAACTCTGACCTTGTCCTCTTTTCTACTGGACCCTCCACTTCCTGCCCCCAACTCTGCAGGGTCCTGGGCAAGGCTCATCAGGTGGGTGTGGACCTTACTCACCTGATGCAGTTTTTTGGGTCCTCATCACAGTTAATGTTGCAGCGGAAGCGTTCCCAGGCCAGCCAGCCCATGGGTGGTGTCTGCAGGAGCCCATTGTCCAGCATCAGCACCTGGGCCGCATGCCCCAGCAAGAGCACTAGGGGGCAAGGGAGGAGGGGATGGTGACTGTCAGTTGCCCCCACAGCTCCAGCCCTCATCCCATCCCATCTGTATGTTGCTCAGCCCTACAGAGGCTGCCTGCCTATATATAAGGGAAACTAGACTTCTGGGTTTAGGGTAGAATTGGCTCTTCCTGCAATGGCTGGCTCTTGCAAAGCAGTAAGTGGGAGGATGGTGCCTGGGCCAGGCAGTGGCTTGAGGTCTGGCCGTCACCACAGCAGTGCTTGAATTAGCAAAACTAACACCTGAAGTTATGTCCTTCCCATAATCCCCATCAGCTCCTCCCATCCCATATACAGAACTTAACAGTACATATGCTCCTAGGCCTACCATGGAACTATGTTCTCGTAAACCCAGTGTAAGTTGAAAATATCACATCAGCCAGGTGCAGTGGCTCACACCTGCATTCCCAACACTCTGGAAGGCCGAGGCGAGTGGATCACTTGAGGTCAGGCCAACATGGTGAAACCTTGTCTCTACTAAAAATTCAAAAACTTAGGCGTGGTGGCGTGTGCTGTACCCGGGAGGCTGAGGCAAGAGGATCACTTGAACCCCAGAGGCGGAGGCTGCAGTGAGCTGAGATCGTGCCACTGAATGCTAGCCTGGGCTGTGACAGAGCGAGACCCCATCTCAAAATAATAAAGAAAATATTATGTCAAAAATGTACTTAATACACCTAACCTGCCAAACATCATAGCTGAGCCTAGCCTACCTTAAAAATGCCAACAGGCCAGGCACGGTGGCTCACGCCTGTAATTCCAGCACTTTGGGAGGCCAAGGTGGGCGGATCACCGTTAAGTCAGGAGTTCAAGACCAGCTTGGGCAACATGGTGAAACCCCATCTCTACTAAAACTACAAAAAAAATACCGGGGTGAGGTGGTGAGTGTCTGTAGTCCCAGCTACTCAGGAGGCTGAGCAGGAGACGTGCTTGAACCTTGGAGGTGGAGGTTGCAGTGAGCCGAGATTGTGCCACTCCACTCCACTCCAGCCTGAGTGACAGAGTGAGACTCCATCTCAAAAAAAAAAAAGGTGCGACAACGCACATTAGCCTACGGCTGAGCAAAATCATCTAACACAAAGCCTATTTTATAATAAATTGTTGAATATTTCATGCAATTTACTGAATACTGAAACACAATGGTTGTATAGGTACTGTGGTTTCTACTGAATGTGTGTCGCTTTCACACCACAGTAAAGTTGAAAAATCCTTAAGTCGGGGCCATTAGCCAGACTCCAGGACTCCTGAGCCCCAGTCCAGGGCTCTTTGCTCTCTACCACAGACCCTCAAGAGGCTTCAGAGAGGCTTAAGAAGTAAGCCAGCCAGGACGGGCACCCAATCAGCTCACCTAAGTGAGCCCTTTCCTCCTCGGGCCTCAGTTTCCTTATCTGTAATATGGAGTTACTGTAGGGACTGTACAGGCGGTTCTCCGCACATGTTGATATCACATCAGATAGGGCCTCTGTACTTGAGGGAGAGGAAGTGAGAAAGGAAGGGCCCCTTTAAAGGAGAAATGATTCCTGTATGGGGAAGCATCTCCTCCCTTCCTGCCCAGCTCTAAGTAAAAGAGAGGGAACCTGTCTCCCCACATACCCACATTAGGGAAGAAGCGCCAGTCAGAGCCCTCCTTGTAGCACTCTAGCACTCACCCCTACCTCCCAAGCCACCCCAGCCGGTGTAGGTACCTGTCTTCAACAGCATTGCTCTGGACTCAGCTTCCGAGAACCTGACCAGATCTGGTCTGCGTGTATCAGCTGTATGTATTGGGCTCTGGAAGCTAAGAAACGTCAGAAAAGCACTGGGGTCACGGCTGCCTGGCTAGTTCGGCCGCCCTCAACCTTGGACGTGGATCCTACACTCGGTCCCCAAGTTGCCCGCCCAGTCCCCAGCCTCACTTCCCGGAGCTTGAGTTCTTCCTTCAGAAATACTGAACAATGTGTCTTGGATGTCAGACCTTACACCCTCTGCAGTGCTGGGAGTCCTGAGCGCCTACGGGCCGCCTTCGGCCCGGTCAGGGCTCAGAAAAAGGCAGCGACCGCCTTAAGGTCGCCCAGAAAGAGCGGAGGGGCAGGGCTGCGGCCAGGCTCCGGACTCCCAGCCGGGTCCGGGTTCCCGCCCTGGGCCCCCCAAAACCGCAGAGCCCCCTCCCGCCGCACTTATCTTACCGAAGCGCTCAGACCCGCGGCCCCTTCTGACTCGATTCCAGTAACCTGATAAGCCTGAAGCGTTCCAGTGAGGGCGGGGCCTCACGAAGGCAACCCTCCGCGCAACCTATCAGAATCCCCCCTAGCAACGCTGTGCCCCGCCCATACGGGCCCAGCTTCCCAGCCTCCCCAAGCCCTTCCCCACTGGGGTCCCGCCCTGCGTGCTAGCGAGGCTGGCATTGGCAGAGCCGGCTTGGGGCTGTCCTTCGTGGCCCGGACCCCGCGAGGCTTCCACCTCTGTGGGGACCACGAGGGCGAGGATCGTGCCAGCCTTACCGTGGGCGCTCAGTAAGCGGCCGTGCAGTGAATACCTGCTGAGGGCTTTGATTAGAGGAAATGAGAGACTGCTCTGAAGCAAGGTCCCCCCTAGTGAGCCGCTGGGAAAATGGAAGTCTGGGATTAATCGTCTCTACGAGGAGGATGCATGGGAGGCAGCAAAGCAGGCGGTCGCAGCTCCAGCAAAGGCAGCCGGCTCCCCTTCCCCGCCTGATGCTCAGGGACTGCTCGCACAGGCTCGGCTACTTCCTTCTTCATTCATTCATCAAGTATTTATTGAGAAACTGCTAGCTGCCAAATGCTTTGTTCTGGGCATTGTAGGGGCAGAAAGATATTTTTCCTTACTCATCCCAAAGGTCACAGCGGACACTCCTATAAACAAAATATAGGTTAGCAAGAGAAAAGCATAACAGATTGATTTACGCAATGTTTTATGTGACTTGGGAGCCTTCAGGAATGAAGACACAAGTACTCAGGGAAAACTTTATTTTTATGTCTCTGATGAAGAATGGACACCCCCGGCCGGGTCTGCTGGCTCATGCCTGCAATCCCAGCAGTTTGGAAGGCTGAGGCAGGAGGATCGCTTGAGGCCAGACATTTAAGGACAGCCTGTGACCAACATAGTGAGACCCCGTCTCTACAAAAAAATTTAAAAACCGGGCAGGTGCCTGTGGTTCCAGCTACTTGAGAGGCTGAGGTAGGAGGATTGCTTGAGTCCAGGAGGTTGAGGTTGTAGTGAGCTGTGATTATGTCACTGTACTCCAACCTGGGCAACAGAAAAAAGGAATAAGGAATGGACAATTGTATAAACGCAATTAGACAAAAGGGAATGATTTGATGTTTATAGCTGAGTATGGAAACCCAGTAATGTCTGTCTGTTCAGATTCTTCTTGTTCTCTCTGTGTGGCATTCCCTCCTGCTGGGAAGAGGGCAGGACCCCTTCTGGAATTAGAGTCTTATGGCCTAGTATCAGACAAGGTAGGTCAGAGAATTCCTTTATGGCCAGGCCTGACACAGAAAGGTGGGGGATGTTTCCAGCAATATTCGTAGTTTCTTTTTTTTCTTTTTCTTTTTCTTTTCTTTCTTTTTTTTTTTTTTGAGACAGAGTCTCCCTCTGTCACCAGGCTGGAGAGCAGTGGCGTGATCTCTGCTCACTGCAACCTCCACCTCCCAGGCTCAAGTGATTCTCCTGCCTCAGCCTCCCGAGTAGTTGGGACTACAGGCGCACGCCACCATGCCCAGGTAATTTTTCTATTTTTAGTAGTGACGGGGTTTCACCATGTTGGCCAGGATGGTCTCGATCTCTTGACCTTGTGATCCGCCCGCCTCGGCCTCCCAAAGTGCTAGGATGACAGGCATGAGCCACTGCGTCAGGCCAATATTTGTAGTTTCTGTAACTCACCTTAAGGAGGAGGAATTTCAGTTTCTATGGCCTGCCTTGCAGGAGAAAAATGGGAGAAAGAAGGGGGTAAGGAGAAGGTCAGAGAGAGACTTGGCTTCTGAGGCTCTTCCAGTGTCCTTTGGTTCAAAGTACTCAGCACGCCCAAGTGTCATATTTTTAGGCATCGCTTTCTGACCTCTAACAGCACCTTCACTCAGATGACCACTGGGCATCTCAAACATAACCCAGACCAAGCACCGGCCACTTTCCACATCTCAGATAATGACAACTCTTCTAGGTGCTCAAGCCAAAACTGTGCAGTCCTTCCTGCTCTTTCCCTCACTCCCTACATCCAACTCCTCAGCAAATCCTGTGTTCTCTACCTTCAAAAGCCATTCTAAATCTGGCTGCCTCTCCCTCCCTGCTCTCACCGCCCTTGTGACATCTCGCCTGGATAGTGGCAGCAGGCTCCTCACTGGTCTCCAGCTTCCACTGACATTGATTCTCGCCACAGCAGTGAGAGTACGCCTTGAAATCTCTCAGGTCCCTCCTCACAGCCCTGTCTAGACTAACAGCCCTCCCAGATTTACAGAGCCCCATCCCACCCCTTCCACCGCCACCTCCTACTGTTTGCCACCCCCTCCCCAGGCCTCCCAGCCTCACTGGCCTTCTTACACAACAGGCCTGAGGGCCACTGCACTGACTGTTTCGTCTGCCTGGAATTGGCATGACTGGCTCCCTCATTTCCTTCAAGTATTTATCCAATGTTACTTTCTCAGTGAGGCCTACCCTGACCACTCTATTTGCAATTGCAACCTCCCTACTCCCACAATTTCCTGTCTCCCTTATCTTCCTCTGTTTTTTCCGTGCCACTTATTACCTTCTAACACATTTATTATTATTATATAGTATTAACTGAACAAAATTTAGTAGGGGAGACAGGCAATAAACAAGAAAATAAAAGCATGAGCATAGGAGAGTTTACTCTAGCAGTGAGTGCTCTGATGGAAATAACACCCCAGGGATGGGACACAGACTGCAGGGCAGGTTGCTTTACAATGGTCCCAGAGGGGACCTCTGAGCAGAGACTCAAATCTGCGTCCAGAGGCGTCCTGAGGAGTGGAGCTGCGGCTGGGGGTGGGAAGGAAGGCCATTCTAGGCTGCAGAACTGTAAGGGCAAAGGCTCTGAGGTGGGAGCCAAGTTCATGGGCAGATGTTTGAGGACACCTCCGGCTTCCAGGGCCTTCCAGAAGCTCTAGTCTCTTGGGTTTGGTTGTGCATTCCCGAGACCTTCACCGCAGGCCGCCTCCTGGACCCACTAGGGCAGAGCCTGGGGGCTGCCGGTGGGCTTCAGGCCAGGGAAGCAGAAATGGGTAATTTCCAGAGGCAGAAATCAGCCGACCCCGGTGGGCCGGTGGGTGACCAAAAAAGCTTGACCGGCCCAAAAAGCTTGACCAGCCCTCGCGGGCTGTGTAGGAGCCCGCCCTTAGGAGGTGCCCAGAGCGAGACGTCCCTGGTTTGGCTCTGCCGGGGAAGTAGGCCTAGCAGGGAGAGGGGGACCAGAGAGGAAGAGATGGACTGAGTTTTCCGTACGGTGGGCCGGGACCGAGGCCCGCGGACCATCTGAGGGGGACCTCTGGGTTCGAGGCCGCCCGCACCGACCAGTTCTGTGGCTCGGGCAGTTCAACGCCCTCTCAGGCCTCAGTTTCCTGCCCTCGCAGATCCCGAAGCCGCCTCGGAGATCCCGGGCCGGTTGAATACTGGGCGGGGAGGGGCGGTAACTCCAGCCTCCCGGGCGGGGTCTCCCAGCTCCCGCGGCCACGTTGCAGCCCAGGCGGAGGCGAGGGGTCTCGAGCCAAGATCGCCCTCTGGGGCATCGGTGCGATCGGCGGCGGGAGGTGAGAGTGGACCCGGCGGGTTCCGGGAGGAAGTGGCCCCAGGGAAGGCGTGGCCGCGGGGACGTGGTGGGTAACAGCCCCGACACGAGGACGGGGAAACCGAGGCGGTAGCCAGGGAGACCCTGACCGAGATGACCCCTGTTTAGGGCGACAGCCGGGTTGGTGCTCTCTGCAGTGGCCACTGGCACTGCGGTCCCGCACCCCAGCTCGCCTCTCCTCCAACAAAAGAATCCAGGAAGACGACGGGGCAGGCGGGAGGCCGGGTGTGCGGGCGGCCTGGCCCCCCTGCTGGTGGAGAGGAGGAAGCGCCCTTCCCCGGACGCGGAGAGGGGAGGGGGCATGGCCTCACGGGCTGCCCACCCCCTCCGTGTGCCCCAGTGCTGGGCCCAGGACCCCCAGCGAGTCCACTCCTCTGGCAAATATCTGTGATCTCCTCCTCCCGCTTCCTGGGCCACCCCTACTGGAATGGCCTCTCTCCCCATCCAGGGGCCTGACTTGTTTTTCTCCATAACCCTTAGCATTACCGGTCCTTTTGGTATCTCTTATTTCACTAATTATTCTTTCATTAATTTATTAGCATTTATTTTGTTTGCCTACAGTGTGTTTCTCCCTGTGGGACTGTAGGCTTCAGGAGGGCGGGAGACTTTGATTTGTCCACTGATGTATTCCCATTAATTCAACAGATCCCTCCTGAGGGCCTCTCTGAGCCCTGCACAGTGCTGGATATTGGGGTTCTCCTGGGAACTTAGCCGAGCCCCACCCTAGACATTCTGGGGCTGGGAACAGTGCTGTAAACACAAATGACATCGTCGTGAGATGAAGGAAACCAGAAATGGGGGGTCTACTGGTCAGATGACCTTAGGTCAGGCCACCTTGGTGGTCAGGGCCACCTTAGATGATATGGTGATCATGCAGGGCCTCCCAGATTAGGTGACTTCAGTTAAAGCCACAAAGAAACTGAGTGGGAGGTGCTAGAAGGGAAAAGCTAGGAACCATGAGGGCACGTGTAGCTCTGACCTGGACTCAGGCAGGGAGCTGGGGTCTGAAGAGTAAAGGTCAAGAAAAGGGGACCCAGCCCCTTAAGCTGCTCAGGGGTTCCTGGCTGGGTAGATGGGTGGGGGGATTCTCAGGGGTCACGGAAGCCTTCCTGGTGGAGGCTGTGGTTTCATTAGGCCTCGAAGGTGGAGTAGGAGTTCTCATTCTTTGGGATAAGCTGACTGGGCTTGCGAATTGTTTTGCAGGCTCCCTGGGAACCAGGTGGTCCAAGGGCTGAGCTGTGCGGCCAGACAAGAGGTCCCTGCCCTCCCCCAGTGAGCCCTGCCGGTAAGTGGTACAGTGTGAGGGATTTGGGAGACGAAGCTCTGCGTCTCATCGGTCATGTAACCTTGGGCAAGTTCCCCTCCCTGCGCCGGGCCTTGGTTTTCCATGAGTAAGGACAGTTGGACTAAGTGTCGTTCATGATCCTGGGGGCACCCACATTCAATGGTTGCGGTTAGATCTTCTCAGCTGTACCTGGGTTTATGCTACACTCTTGTTTACAGAGCAGGTCCCCATCTGGCCCTGAAGGCTGCAGATTGAGAGAGAAAAATAATGGTTTATCTGAGGAACTGGAGCCCTTTTAAATAATCAGGCCCAGACATATTGAAATGCAACAGCTGTCAAGTCTTACTCCTCCCTTGAGCTGAAGAATTATCTCTTTTTCTTTTTTATTTTCTTTTCTTCATGTCAGGTCAGTAATGTGCCCACATGGTAACAAGGTTCGAGGGTGGCATGGCTCACACATGCACATGAACACCCAATCATCACACTCATGAACTACAAAAGGATCAAGAATTACCTCTGGAAGCCACTTGCTATGTGGCTCTAGAGCGACACCAAGTAGCCATAAAATGATGTACACTGGACACCCTCCAGTTCTTACCCTATAGTTCAACAATGTATAGCCAATCACTAATCAATATTATTTCTTTTTTTTTTTTTGAGATGGAGTTTCTCTCTTGTCACCCAGGCTGGAATGCAATGGCACAATCTCAGCTCACTGCAACCTCTGCCTCCTGTGATCAAGCAATTCTCCTGCCTCAGCCTCCCGAGCAGGTGGGATTACAGGCACCCGCCACCGTGCCCGGCTAATTTTTGTATTTAGAGATGGGGTTTCACCATGTTGGGCAGGCTGGTCTTGAACTCCTGAGCTCAGGTGATCCACCCCCACCTTGGCCTCCCAAAGTGCTGGGATTACAGATGTGAGCCACCGCACCCCGCCAATCAATGTTATTTCTATAAACCAAGGAGAATTGTCATCCTTGCCCCCTTCTGCCTATAAAAACCTGCTTGTAGGAAAGGCCCAATGCATCATACGCCACGACAACTTAGAAGTTTGTTCTGTCCTTACTCTCACTCAAGTAAACTCTTTAAAGTTATATTTTGTGCCTCAGCTTCTGCCTTTAGGTCACTAAGATTCAACTGCTATATGCAAATAGAGGCCAGTAGAGGCCCAGGAGGGTCATGGAAACCCTGGAAGCTTGGCCTCAGAGTTGGAGTTGAGAGGACCCCAGATCAGGGAATAGTTTAAGCACAGTGGTTTCGATGGGTCTGGGGTCCATTTCAGCTCAGCTGACGCCTGTTTGTTTGGATTTTAGAAAGCCCTGCCCAGGTCCTGGCATGCCTCCTGTCTGATGCAATCTTGTTATTCTTTTCTCCAAGTCCGCCAATGTCCAGTTTTTCTTTTTGCATGATCCTCACAACATCCCTTTGAGAGAAAAGGAAGGAAAGATGAGCCCACTTCTCAGGAGACTTTAGGGGCCTTACAGACACAGCAAGCAAGTAGGAGCCCCAGGGCTGGGGTCCAGGTCGCCTCCGGAGCCAGTGCTCTTCCCCAGTGGGGCACAGAACCACCTCCCTCTCTGATCCGCTGCCATCTCTCTCGCCTCACAGTTCCTGTGGGAGCCATGAAGCTGAACGAGAGGAGTGTAGCCCACTATGCACTCAGCGACTCCCCAGCAGACCACACGGGCTTCCTGCGCACCTGGGGGGGCCCAGGGACCCCATCGACCCCTAGTGGCACTGGCCGAAGATGCTGGTTTGTCCTCAAGGGCAACCTGCTGTTCTCCTTTGAGAGTCGCGAGGGCCGGGCCCCTCTGAGCCTGGTGGTGCTGGAAGGCTGCACAGTGGAGCTGGCTGAGGCTCCCGTGCCTGAGGAGTTTGCCTTTGCCATCTGCTTTGATGCTCCTGGAGTGCGCCCACACCTGCTGGCCGCAGAAGGGCCGGCGGCCCAGGAGGCCTGGGTGAAGGCGCTGTCTCGGGCAAGCTTTGGCTACATGCGCCTGGTGGTACGTGAGTTGGAGAGCCAGTTGCAGGACGCACGCCAGAGCCTGGCTTTGCAACGCCGCTCATCCTGGAAGTCTGTTGCCGGCCGCTGTAAGCCCCAGGCTCCTAACCACCGATCTGTGGGCCTGGAGAATGGCCACTCCCTCTCCAAGGACAGCAGTCCTGTGGGCTTGGTTGAAGAAGGGGGCAGCAGGTCTTCAGGGTGGGGGTTGGCTGAGTGGGAGCTGCAGGGCCCTGCCAGCCTCCTCCTAGGCAGGGGGCAGAGCCCTGTGTCCCCTGAGACCTCCTGCTTCTCTACCCTGCATGACTGGTATGGCCAGGAGATCATGGAGCTGCGGCAGTGTTGGCAGCAGAGGGCCCAGAGGAGCCAGCCAAAATGTGAGGAACAGGATAAGCCCTAAGTCTGGACCCTTTGAGTCAGGAAACCAGGGCCAGTTCTTTTTCAGGAGTTAAATGTTTACCCATTTCCAACGTTGTGTTTTGGGAGGGGACATGGGTTCTCTCCTTCCTGCTATTTAGGCATTCTCCAGATTCCAGATCCACCCGTGTGTCTGGAAGGGACTGAGGGACCATTCCTTCCATCCTCTTTATTTCCTGAGGTCCAGAGAGGAAAGGAGACTTAGACGCCACAGAGCAAGACCCCAATCTCCTGACTGCACTGGCCTGACTGGCCCCTCCCAGGGGATGTTAATGAAATGAAGGAAGTGGGAAATGTCACCTGAGAGTGTCACAGGCTTGCCCTACCTTTGACCTATACACCAGGCTCTGGAGCCATAATTTCCAACCTGGGGAGTCTCGTGTGCATTTAAATCCGAGGTAGGCTGCAGTATTGGCTTGAGGCTCTGACACTGTCAGAGCAAGTGGATTTATTGTGTCACAGGAGTTTCTGGGACCCAGCTCTTCCTGAGAGGGGTGGGAAGATTGGGGATCCTCACTCAGCAGTTTGGGTAGGGCCCTTTGAGGCAGAGGGTCTTCGGCCAGTGAAGATTTACTCTGCTCAGAGTGTTGGGGTCCCATCCTTTCTCCTCAGCTCCCCTGTTAACAGATGGTGCTGGACCTTGCCCCAGAAGGGGCTTGTAGCTTTTTTATGTCAACGAAATGCCCTCCTGTACTCTGTCTTCAGCAGCCAACTCCTGGAGCTGCCAAGTGAGGGGTTAAAGAAGAGGTGGGTAGGCAGCGTGGTTCCCTGGGTAAAGTTTGTTGCTTTGGTTCTCAGTCCTGGGTATTCTAGAAGTTTGGACACGGGATTCCGTTTCCTGTGCTAAAATTCTCCCTCCTGGCTGGGCTCCCGTAAACTGAAGCTACTCGAGAAACCACCTGGAAACTCTCATAGCCCTGTTTGTCACCCAGGGTGTACTTGCCAGGACCTTTCCTTGCTACTCTTCCCAACATCGAGCGTGATTTTTCTATTGTTCTGAGAGGCAAAGCGGCTGGGTCACCAGAGCCTAACCAGACTGACGCCCCAGGGGGAAGACGCAGAGGCCGGGAGGAGACACCCCCTCCCAAACACACAAAACTTGCCTCTTCCTGGCCTCGGCTCCCCTCACTGGGGCCTTGGGCAGGGGTGACCCGCACCCAACTAGGCCTAAGGGGGACGCTCGGAGCCTCTTACCCCCAGGAGGCGGAGATGCGCCCAGGGCGGGCGCCCGGCCTGTTCCCCAGCCCTGCCTGGAAGCTCCGCAGCCACTGCATTTTGTTGACGGGCCCTTCTCTTATTGCTACAGTGTTTTGTACGCGGTTAAAACACTAGTAAAGCTTTTTCATTATTACTCATTCGTCTCCCTGGGTTTATTTCCACAGCCGGCCGCTAAGTCCTGCTCCGGCCACCGTGCAGTCCTAGGTGCGGGACCCAGGACCGCGGCCCCGCCCCTGAGGACGCGGACGTAAGGAGCCGGGGCGGTGCCGCTGCTCTCGTGACGTCATCACGCCGGCCAGTGACAAACACCTCCCACCGCCCCAGGAGCCGCCAGCGCTGCGCGACTGCGAGGGCTGGGCTTCTCGTGTGCTCCTCAAAGTATCGCGAGGCTTCGGGCGGCGTTCTTCCCGAGGGCGGCACCGGGGCCGGGCGGCGGGGTCCGGGTGCCCTGGTGAGGGGCGGAGCTGGGGGCATGGCGTCCGGAGCGGCTCGCTGGCTAGCACTGGCACCAGTCAGGTCCGGGGCTCTCCGAAGCGGGCCTAGCTTGAGGAAAGATGGCGATGTCGCCGCCGCACGGAGTGGCTTAGGCCAGAGCCTGGTACCGTCGAGGTCAGTCATCGTTACCCGCAGCGGCGCCATTTTGCCCAAACCAGTGAAAGTGAGTGTCTGCCTGGAGACGGGGTGAAGGGGCTGAGGCCAATCATTGTGGGGAGTGCGTGAGGGCGGCGCTGATTGACGGGAGCCAAGGCCAATCATAACGACTACCTTAGACTGGAAGGCGGACCAAGAATAAATACGCTAATGAGTTGCTAATTTTGACAGGTGTGTAGAAAATGGTAGGTAGACAGAAGATGGGGGGAAAACGCTGAGGAAGATGGCCTTTCACATTAGCTTGTCCTGAGAGGTGTGGGGTGCTCTGCACCTCTGGAGTCAGAAGACTAGGCCGTGTGCTTCTAGCTTAGACCAGTCCTGTAATCTCTGCCCTGCCTGTCTCCTAGTTTATGGGATGAAATATGAATTGTGAAAGGATTCTGTAAATAAAGGGTACGTGGGACGGGCCTCATCTTTTTATGAGTTGTCAGCTAGTATTCATGTGATTTACAGTCCTGATAGATGTGCAGGGAATTATTAAAATCACGGTTTTTCAAATGAACAATCGGGCTAGAGCGGTGAAGTTAATATCCAAGGCCATCGCCGAGGCCGCAGCATCCGGGTTTCTTCCTGGTACCGTCCCCATCAGGTTCTATCTTTTTCCAACACTGAACGCTGTCACATGCTTGAGTTTTTCTAGGGAAAACGGAAACAGTCCCTTATATCCAACAAAAGTTTTCTTTAGCACTGCAGGGCTGTGTGGTGTGGGAGTTAAAAAAAACATTCTCTTAAAGCTAGTCTGGCCTATGCTAACTCACACAGTTGACTGCAGTCCATGTTGGGAAAGACCTGCCTTATCAAAACAGTTGCAAAAAAACTTTTTTTTTTAAATTCTAGGAATACGAGAGAAACGTTGCTGAGATTTTACTGACATCCTCCCAATCCATCTAAATAGTCTGAGTGTAAATACATGCCTACTTTCAAATACATCTGTTTCTAAAATTTTTAAATCAAATTTCTCAGGCATCAGGGAACGTGTTACTTAATGAACTGTATAGAATATCCCTTCAGTGTACATCTTTCTGTCATCGGTTTTCGTGTATTTCGTGTTCAGGTAGAGCTCACCGTAGTCTGGCCCTCCTAGTACTGGTGCACCCGTCTGCCTGTAGGGATTTAAAGTAATTAGCAGGCTGTGTCCTAACTTTAGATGTCTAGGGTGCCTTAGACTTTTCTTTCCAGTGGACTTTTCATCCACTTTGATGGCCATAACAGTCACCTTATCCCTTTTTCTTTTTTGTTTTGAGATGGAGTCTCACTCTGTCACCCAGGCTGGAGTACAGTGGCACAGTCTCGGCTCACTGCAACCTCCGCCTCCCGGGTTCAAGTGATTCTTCTGCCTCAGTCTTCTGAGTAGCTGGGACTACAGGCGTGTACCACCACACCCGGCAATTTTTTGTATTTTTAGTAGAGATGGGGTTTCACCATGTTGGCCAGGCTGGTTTCGAACTCCTGACCTCGTGATCTGCTTGCCTCGGCCTCCCAAAGTGCTAGGATTACAGATATGAGCCACTGCGCCTGGCCTTTTTTCTTTTTTTAAGACAGAGCCTCACTCTGTTGCCGAGGCTGGAGTGCAATGGTGCAGTCTTGGCTCACTGCAACCCCTGTCTCCTGGGTTCAAGCAATTCTCCTGCCTCAGCCTCCCAAGTAGCTGGGATTACAGGCGTGCGCCACCATGCTGGGCCAATTTTTTGTATTTTTAGTAGAGACGGGGTTTCACCATGTTGGCTAGGCTGGTCTCAAGCTCCTGACCTCAGGTGGTCCACCCACCTTGGCTTCCCAAAGTGCTGGGATTACAGGTGTGAGCCACCCCGCCTGGCCCTCTCCTTTTCTAATTACTTTTCTTGCCCTGAATTTTTCCAAGGATTTTAAAATCAAGTTGCTTATGATGGGTCTGAGGTCCACAGGAGGGTATGTCCGTGAGAGGGCCAGGTCTTCTTTGGTCCTGCCAGAGTGGGCTCTGGAGCTCACAGCTGCCACTCTGACCCTCTGCAGATGTCCTTTGGCCTTCTCCGTGTGTTCTCCATTGTGATCCCCTTTCTCTATGTCGGGACACTCATTAGCAAGAACTTTGCTGCTCTACTTGAGGAACATGACATTTTTGTTCCAGAGGATGACGATGATGATGACTAACAGGTAAGACTTGCTTTACCCTAGATGGACGAGGAAGCAGGGTGGAGCATCTGTCTGTGATGCAGTCTGGCCTGGTAGCAGCATTTGGACAATGAGGGCAGAAGCTTTAATGAATTGACCCACTTGGTGGCTAATGTTTTTTGAGACGGAGTTTCGCTCTTGTTACCCAGGCTGGAGTGCAATGGCATGATCTCAACTCACTGCAACCTCTGCCTTCCAGGTTCAAGCGATTCTCCTGCCTCAGCCTACCGAGTAGCTTGGATTACAGGCATGTGCCACCATGCCTGGCTAATTTTGTATTTTTAGTAGAGACAGGGTTTCTCCATGTTAGTCAGGTTGGTCTCAAACTCCCGACCTCAGGTGATCCACCCACCTTGGCCTCCCAGAGTGCTGCGATTACAGGCGTGAGTCACTGCGCCCAGCCGACTTCATGTGCTCTAATATGTGCTTCATGGCATTACTGTCAGAGATGAGGACACTCCTGACTCCTTAGCCTGGCATTCAAGGCTTGCCATAATCTGGTCACACCTCTTATTCCAGTCTCATCTTCCATATTTCCAGCCACACACCGATTCCCAGTATTCACCATTTCTTGAGTTTTCACACTCATACCCACCCCCAAACATTGGCTCATTGTTCCTCCCACATGGAAGGCTGTTTCTGAGAGCTCTGGGTCTTAATTCCACCCCATTCTACAGTGTCTTTGAAGTCTTCCTTCCTCCCTTCATTTGAAAGTTGACTACTCCTTCCTCTGAGCAACCAGTACCTCCAGTACCTCTCTTCAAATACTCGGTATTATGTGTCTAAACACACTCAAACCAAAATTTTACTAGACTCTGAGCTTCTTGCTGGCAGGGGACGTTTTTTATACATTTGAGCCCCCAGTGCCTGGCCCGTGGTGAATGCCCAGTTAACATATGCATAAACAATCAAACGTGCTCAAAGCTGCCTTTCTCCTGCCATGTTTGATAGAAGCATTTTGTGGAATTCTTTCAGTCTGCGGATGGAAGACTACTCTGTTGCCCAGTTCACTGCTGCTTTCCTTTCTTCCAGGCATTATAGAAAGGAGAAAGCAGTAACTGAAGAAATGGTGATGCTCTCAGCTTCTCTGCCTTCCCTATCAGCAGAAGGGCTCAGGGAAGGCCCTCAGCCTCCCAGTCTGGTGAAGCTTCCTGTATGGTCCATGACCATATCCTACCCCAGGCTCTGGCAGGCTCCCTGAGATGTGCTGTCCACTAAGCACTGCACAAACAAGCAATCAAATTATGAATAAACATAATAAATATCAGCTGTGTGTGACTGAGTGATTGCTGCAGTTTCTCAGTATGCCTAGGCTCTAGTTGGTGCGGTTGTCTCTGCTGTCCTTTATTCATGAGAGAAACATAGGCCCAGGCTATCCAGGCTGCAGTGGAGCCCGGTGAACTATTCTGGGGCCTGGGAACGATTTTCATTGTTTACAAAAGCCCAATAGAAACTGCGCATTTTCCCTTAAGAAAGCTACACGGCCTAACTAAAGCCTCATGCCATTCTGTGTTCAGTGCCAGTCATTTAAGTAGTATGCTCTGCTTGTTAGCATACTACTTAAATATAACTAGAATGATTCAAAACTTGGGTTCTGTGATATGAGGATATATAGAGGTTTTCATCTATTTCCTGGCTTATAACCCCCAAAGCCCTTGTTTTAGGCTTTTGTTACAATGTTGGGCACTTCGGGCCTCAGAAAACAGTCTCTTTCTCAGACCTTCTCCTGACCTCCTTTCACCTGCTGCTTTTTCTCCCCAAGGCAGGCCATAGAAACTAAAAGTATAATCTTCTTTTGCCTGTCTTCGAGTTGGCCATAAAAAGAATTCTCTGACCTACCTTGTCTGATTTTAGGTCATGAGACCCCCAATTCAGAAGGGATTCTTTCCCTTACCTGGGAGGAAGAAATGTGGACAGGCCTTGTTGGACTTCCCCACTCCATCTGTATTAGATTATGCCTCTTTTGTCTACTCCCATTTTTCCACCGTTGGCCATGCTTCAATCATCCCTATCCAATGAGGTCTCCACAAAAGGCCCAAGAAGACACGTTCAGAGAGCTTTCGGAGAACAGAACACTTGGCTTTGGAAAGTGGCATGCCTGGAGAGAACTTGGAAGCTCCGTGCCCCTTCTTCTATACCTCACCCTATGCATCTCTTCATCTGTATCTTTTGTGATATCCTTTACAATAAACCAGTAAATGGACCTAAGTGTTCCCGAGTTCTGCAAGCTGCTCCAGCAAATTAAAAAGAAGGGGTCATGGGAACTCCAACTTGAAGCTCAGAAGTGCTGGAGGCTTGGACTTGTGAATGTTGTCTAATGGGGGTGGGAGCAGTCTTGTGGGACTGAGCCCCAAACCTGTGGAATCTGATGCTATCTCCAGGTAGATAGTGTTGGAAGAGAATTGGAGGACAGCCAGCTGGTGTCTGCTGCAGAACTGACTGCTTGCTTAGTGTGGGGAGAAACCCTCATACGTTTGATCACAGAAGGCTTATGTGTTTTTTGTTACTGAGTGAGAGAACACAAAAACATTTTTGAGTTTTTTCCTCAGGTTCCTAAGGTGAAAATATAAAGGGATCCTTGGTGCCGTAAGTTTTGGGGCCATGCACAATGGCTGAGGCCTGTAGTCCCAACACTTTGGGAGGCTGAGGCAGGAGGATCACTTGAGTCCAAAGTTCAAGACCAGCCTGGGCGCAGTGGCTCACACCAGCACTTTGGGAGGCCAAGGCGGGTGGATTGCTTGAGGTCAAGAGTTTGAGAGCAGCCTGGCCAACATGGTGAAACTCCGTCTCTTCTAAAAATATAAAACTAGCTAGATGTGGTGGTCCACGCCTGTAATCCCAGCTACTTGGGAGGCTGAGGCAGGGAGAATCACTTGAACCAGGAAGCGGAGGGTGCAGTGAGCCAAGATCACGCCACTGCACTCCAGCCTGGGCAACAACAGCGAGACTCCATCTCAAAAAAAAAAAAAAAAAAAAAAAAAAAAGACCAGCCTGGGCAATGGAGAGACCCCATCTCTACAAAAAAAAACAAAAAAACCAAAAAAAAACTATGGGACTCCTCAGTGATGATACCTATAGATTCCAAACCCCCTTCTCTATCATTTGGATTGCCCTGGGAAGGACGAGAGAAGACTACCATCCAAACAGAGATCAGTTCTTGAACCGGGGTTGATGTTTATTTTCCTGCCACTGAGAGGTACACCAGAGTTTGCAAAGACAGTAGGAATATTTCTGTTCTCTGTGTGTATATTGAATAGCTGTGCACCTAGCAGGGTGCCTGAGTAGGAAGTTAATTTCATTTTAAGGGCTAGAGCTTGTTACAAGTAGTGGAGCCAAGCCTTTGCACATCCATTTTCTTCAGAACCCAAGGAAAACTAGCCCATTTTGACAGCTCTACTTTTGCGCCTGTGAGTGCTGCTCTGATCCCTCTCTGACAGCAAGAGCTGGCTAATTTTGGATAATCTGTGCCCTGACAAAAAGGTGTCTAATCATGGGGACTGTAGAAACTACTACATTAACAAGTTATCCAGCCTCATGCCCAGTGTCACAGTTTTTGAACAGATGGCCTCCTTCCTTCCTGTTTACTGACATGCAAGGCTCTGAGAAAAATAATTCAATCCAATTTACAGCAAACACCACATTTCAAGAAAAGGGAAAGAACAGGTGGTGTGTATACCAAAGCCCCACTTGCTCAGGCAAAAACAGGCTTCAGAAAATTGGTTCATCAATGGAATTCTATCACAAAGTGACCATCGTATAGCGAGTTTATTTGTGCTCTAAAACAATATCAACATGCACCTTTCCACTGAGTGACTTCATGGGTCATGGCCAACATAGAACTTGGATAGGAAATCCTTTGGCCTTGGCGCTTCTGTTTCATGGAAGAACCGCATAACATGTGTCCGCTGCTTCCATACTTTAATTGTTTCTTCCAGTTCCATCTTTCCCTGAACAGCGAGGAGAGAGGTCGTCAGTCACAGTGGTCAAGTTGAAGGCATATGACACTGAAGGCCAGGATTCTATTCTCTGCTCAGCATGGACTTGTTGAATGACCTTGGGCAAGTAACTACTCTGTCTGGGCAAAGTTTCTATGTCTGGACAATGAGATGGTTGGGGTAAATGATTTCTGAGACGTTTCAGAGATTCTTTAACTCTGTGGTTAACTGGTACCAAGAGGAGAAACATATAGGTTAACAGGCTCTTATCCCATGACCACCTAACCTGACTGGCTTATGTTTCTGCTTATCATTTCTTCTGTTACTGACTGGTCTATGCTGAAGCTCCCATTGATGCTAATGTGACTGGCCAGGGGGACAGAATCAGCCCCAGGATTTGACCCCATTTATACAGGACTCATAATCAGCCTAACTGCCTCTTCCAGCTGTAAACTGGCATTCAGATGAAGTGGTAACTTCTAGGGTGAGGTTCAAGAAGAATTCAAACTTTCCTCCCTATATCTTTTTTTTTTTTGGTTATAAAATGCAAGTCCCAGTGGATGTTGCCTTGATGAATCTTATCTATTTATCCAGATGATAACCTCCAAGTTCAAGTATTTCTCTGAAATACAGCAATAATCACTGCTGAACCAGTAGCTGCTTTCTAAACTTGGAGACAAAATGTTCATTTGGAAAGACTGAGAAGTAGTGAACAAGTTGGTGATCTTTTAAATTGGTCAGGGAGGGTCAGTTACCTTAATGACCAGAAGATCAACCACCCTGGGGTCTGTGACGTGGGCATTCTTCATAAACATTTCTCGGACTTTATCCCGTCCCATTTTCACAGTGATGTCCAGCTGGAATTGGTGTACTAGAGAGAAAAACATTACTCAGGGTAGAAATTGTATGGTTAAAACATGTTTTTAAAACCTAGAGTCAAAGGATACTCATTGAACACATACAGGTCGCCCATTCATTCCTTCACCAAAAATTAGCCTGACCCTAGGCTAGGTGCCTGAGGATGAGACGTGTGATTCATGGCATTTGCTCTCAAGGAACTTATTATTTTGTTTGGGGAAAAAGACCACTGAATTTGAAGAGGCAGTAAAGCATTGTTCAAGAGTTTGAACAACCTGGGTTCAAATCCCAACTTTTGTTAGGTATATGATCCTGTGTAAGTTAACCTTCTTGTGCCTGAGTGTATTTTTTTTAAAATTATTTTTTTAGCCGGGTGCGGTGGCTCACGCCTGTAATCCCCAGCACTTTGGGAGGCTGAGGAGGGTGGATCACCTGAGGTCAGGAGTTTAAGACCAGCCTGGCCAACATGGCGAAACCCCATCTCTACTAAAATTACAAACATTAGCCGGGCGTGGTGGCGGGCGCCTGTAATCCCAGCTACTCTGGAGGCCGAGGCAGGAGAATCACTTCAACCCGGGAGGCGGAGGTTGCAGTGAGCTGAGATGGTGCCACTGCACTCCAGCCTGGGTGAAAGAGTGAGACTGTGTCTCAAAAAAAACAAAATTATTTTTTTGGAGACAGGGTCTTGCTCTGTGTGATCATAGCTACTTGCACCCTTGAACTCCTGGGCCCCCGTGATCCTCCTGCCTCTCAGCCCGGCAAGTTGCTGGGATTACATGTGTGAGCCATTGTCCTGGCTGAGTGTATTTATTTATCAATAAAATGAAGACAATAACAGCACATATAACTCCAGGGCTCTTGTGGAGATTTCATGAGACAATGCAAAATGCTCACAATAGTGCCTCACATGGAATAAGCTCTCAATAGACATTAGCATTATTTTTATATGGAACAATCGGCAAAAGAAAACAGGATTGAAATTAATGTAAAAGGATGTGGCCTAGGCTGTTAAGTACTACACAAACTTTGAGTTGAGGGAGACTGCTAGGGGTTTATGCAGGTTAGGGAGGCTTCAATCCAACAAGCAATTAATACCATCTTAGGTTACTTAGAGGAAGCAAAGTTTAAGATGTAGCTCCACTTGTCTAGGTGTTAAATTCTGACTGGAGGGACAGCCAGCTATGAATATAAACATAAAATCATAATATTCAACAATCCCTGATGAAGCTCCTAAAATAGTGACAAAGATTCAGTAACCTGGAACTTCAGATGAGACGTACGGATATCCTTTGAAAATTAGGTTTTAGTTACATGCATTACCACCCCCTGGGACGCTCAGCCATCAGTGGATTTGTTGATGACAAGGTCATGAACAGGGTCTTGCGTGGTAGGTGGGATACACATAGGGTGACAGAGGCACACTAGGCTGTGGGGACAGCAAAATCAAGGCTCCCAGGCTAGAATGAGCACTGTAGTGAAGGAAACCAGTGTATTCCTTTGGAATACCTTGTCTTGTGGCCATTCCTGTGACATGTTCACCCTGGCCTACAGAACTATCATAACCAGCTCTGAAAACGATGAAGGCCATTTTCTGATTGAATTAGCAATAAAGTATGAACCTTAATTTTTTTTTTTTTTTTTTGTAGAAACAGGATCTCACTATGTTTCCCAGGCTGGTCTGGAACTCCTGGCTTCCAGCAATCCTTGACCTCCCAAAAGGTGTCGGGATTATGGGCATGAGCCACTGCACCTCACCTGAATCTTTTTACTCCTAACTTAGTGACAGTGATAGAAAAATAAAGCCTCTGCTGAGGGACATATCAGGCCATGCTGCAAAGCAAACAAAGTTTCCGATCCAACCAAGGAAAAAGCAACAGCAGAAATATACTAGGAGAACTGGCATCCCAGCTTGATAGGTCAATGTTAACACCACAGAGGACAGAGGATCATTCACTAGAAGTAAGTGTCCAGGGTGTGCTGGAGCAGGCTCTCATGGAGAGCCAGCTTTACATATCTCTTCCCAAATCCGTCCACACTGACTTCACTTAAAAATCAATCATAGTGGGAGTATTTATACCATGGAAAATGGCAAACACTATAAATTTGAGTTTTACCTCCCACAGAGCTGTTCACCAAGGTATATTAGGAATTCCAGTAAAGAGCAGACAAAGGGACAATAAGAAGACAGATGCAAAAATAAATGCAAACTAATATGGAACCTGGAATTTTATTATTATTTTTTTAAGACAGGGTCTAGCTCTGTCACCCAGGCTGGAGTGCAATGGCATGATCATGGCTCACTGCAGCCTTGACCTCCCGGCTCAAGCAATTCTCCCACCTCAGCCTCCCAAGTAGCTGAGACTACACGCACGCACCATTACGCCCATACTTTTTTAGTTTTTTGTGGAGACGGGCATCTCACTACATTGCCTAAGCTGGTCTTGAACTCCTGGGCTTAAGCGATCCTTCTGCCTCTGCCTCCCAAAGTGCTGGGATTACAAGTGTAAGCTACCACACCTGACCAAACCTGTCCTTGGTACACGTGTGCCTAGAATCCAGGGTTTTTTTTTTTTTTTTTACAATCCAGTGCTCTTTTAAGGAAGAGACTATGAGGAATCTTCCCCTACTATCAGTGCTTATCTTTCCTGCATTTTTTATTTTAGATTCCTGACCAACTTTGGGAACAAAGAAACAAGATTTCTCTGGGCATACTTACGGGAGCTTGTGCCCATCAGCTCCCATTCCTCATGATCTCCTGAACTACTACACAGCAGGGCACTGGGTGATGAATCTTCTCATCAGCAAAATGTTCACATGCATAAATGCAACATTTTACTTACAGTTTCAGTAGGTTACAGATCCTTGAGTGCCCATCCTCAGATTAAGAACCCTTGTCTCTAGAAAGACAAATTCCAAATAGGTCTGTCCCAGGCTCCCTCCTCCCATCCCAACACTCTGAATGCACCCCCCAACCAGCGAGAAAGGCTGCAGAAAAGCAAATGGAAATAGCCTAGCCATAGACTGAATCGTTCCTTGGTCTAAATCTGTGGCAAACCAGCAATGATTTTGCCCCCCAGAACATTTGGTAGTGTCTGGAAGCATTTTTGGTTGTCACACCCATGGGGTGGGTGCTACTGGCATCTTGTGGGTAGAGGCCAGGGATGCCGCTAAACATCCTATGATGCAGGGGACAGCCCTGCACAGCAGTCGTCCAGCCCACATGCCACTGTTGAGAAACCCTGATGTAAATCAGTTCCAATTGTTCTTTCTCAACTCACAAATTCCTGGCTTATTCTTTGAATCCTGAATACCTCTATTTCAATTTGAAAAAATCTGAGAGGCTCAAAAGGAAGTACCCCTTTTGGGTGAAGGTGACTTTTCCACAGTCTCTGTGTGCTTTTCTGAAGTTATTGTTAAGGCTTTCTTGAGTCCAGAAGGCTCTGACAGATTCTGAAGGACAATCTGATACTGCTCTCAGTTATTTGCTCCAATTCATTTTGGTTGCATTCATACAAGTCACAAGGCCTGTATTCTTAGATGGGAAGGCAGCATAGTATAATGGAAAATAATGTGGGATTAGGGATCAAATAAGCTGGGTAAGGTCTCCAGATCATTATAAATTATGATCTTGCCTGGGGTACAGCCTCCTTAGCCTATCATCTCATCTAAAAAAAATAGGAAAGAAAATAAACTCTAACCTAATTCTTTTACAGGAATATAGTGAAAAATCAAGTGACACCTTGTAAAGCATGATCCAAATGCTGACTGTTAAAACTGTCACACTTTTTCCCCCATACCTCTATAATACCTTGGGTTTAATTATCTGGTTAAATGCCTATAATAGACTAGACCATAAGACTAGACCATCAGACCCTTGAAGGCAGGGTTGTGTTTTATTCATTTTTGTATCTCTCTAGGCATCTAGTACTGACTCTGAAGTACAACAGATACTTAATGAAATGGAAATTAAATGAATGAACTGTCTCTATAGAAAGTCTCCTGTTATCTTACGGCCAGCAAACAGCATGTCATATTTTTTCCAAGGAAGGATTCAAAGGCAGTTCTATCCCTGTGCTCCCATGCAAAACTGGGCCCTGGGAGATTCAGGGAAAACTGCAGTAGAAGCTAAGAGCCGGGTATTAGGGGTTTACAGGTAGGTTCTTCTACTTCCTAACGATGTCATCTGAGACAAATTTATGTGCCTCAGTTTTCTCATCTACAAGGCAGGGAAACTATTAGAGCCCACCCTAAAATAAGGCATAGTGCTGAGTCATATGTAAGCATTTCAATAAACGTTAGTTATCAGCCAGTCACAGTGGCTCATGCCTGTAATCCCAGCACTTTGGCAGGCTGAGGCCAGCGGATCACCTGAGGTCAGAAGTTCGAGACAGCCTGGCCAACATGGTGAAACCCCATCTCTACTAAAAATACAAAAGTTAGCCAGGTGTGGTGGCGCGCGCCTATAATCCCAGCTACTTGGGAGGCTGAGGCATGGGGAATCACTTGAACCCGGGAGGCGGAGGTTGCAGTGAGCCGAGATCGCGCCATTGCACTCCAGCCTGGGAGACAGAGCGAGACTGTCTCAAAAAAAAAAAAAAAAAAGTGAGTTATCAATACTATTTTTTTCATTAAATACTTAAAATTTTACTTTTGTTTATTAATGCTCAGGCTGTTCTAAGTTATTGACACTATTTTCCCCTTCCTTGATTTGATTCCTCAGCTGGAGTCCTGATGATGGATACCATAAAACCCATGTGGCACAGGTCTGTGTAACTGGCCAGCTGCAGATCACTGATCTTCCCCATAGGGATGCACACTCCTTGACCCCTTCTTTTCTCTCCTCTTCCCTTGCTCTTTAGGCTCCTGTAACCCTCTGCCTTCTTTTCCTCCTCTCAAGACCCTTCTGACTTTAGGACTTTCTTCCCAAAACAGAATTTGAGGGAAGGTCTTGGGAGGGGATGGTTTAGAAAGAGCTGGATTCTCAGAGTCAGGATACCTGGGTTCTGTCTTCTACTTGGCCACTGATTTACCCTTCACAAGCCACCCTTTTTCAATGTGGTCCTCCTTCCCCCAGCACCTTCTTCCTGCAACCAGAGAGGGTTCTGGGTACTCCTAGAAGTATTCTGCCAGGTAAACATTATGTTTTCAAACTTCTGAATTTGAATGCACCACCCCAAAACACACACACACATACACATACACACTGCTACTGTCACTCCCCACACACATCTTTTATCTGCCTGCCCCTGAAGGCATCTGAATTTGCAGTCCCTGAACCAGCGGATCACTCAAGTTTCTCCTTCTCTAGTAACGCGTGGGTTTAAGTTCTGGTCAGTAGCAATTTTTCCAAAAGTCAGCTTGAGGACAGGGACTCTGTGGAGCAGAGACGGTTCTCATATGTCAAAGAACTGGGTTCTGCTTGGAAGCTGCTGCTAAGGTAAGCCCTATAAATAACAAAAATAACAACAAAAACAATGGCAGCAGCTAATATTTAATGAGTTAAATATGCACCAAGCCCTGTTCTAAGCACTCTAGATATTTTAACTTAATACAGTAACTTTCTGAAGAAGGAATTATCATTCCCATTTTAAAGATGAAGAAACAGGAACAGATGAAATACCTGGCCCAAAGTCACACAGCTAGTTGAGGGCAGCGCCTGGATAAAAGTCCATGCTCCTAACCACCACATTCTACCGCCTCTTCACACACAAGCAGGGACTCCACAGCCCTGAGGAGTGGCACCATGCTCCAGCTCACTCAAAAACACCTCTTTCTCACGCTTCGGGAGGCCAAGACGGGCGGATCACGAGGTCAGGAGATCGAGACCATCCTGGCTAACACGGTGAAACCCCGTCTCTACTAAAAATACAAAAACATATGCCGGGCGTGGTGGCGGGCGCCTGTAATCCCAGCTACTCGGGAGACTGAGGCAGGAGCATGGCGAGAACCCAGGAGGCGGGGCTTGCAGTGAGCCGAGATCGCACCACTGCCTCCAGCCTGAGCAACAGAGCGAGACTTCGTCTCAAAACAAAAACAAAAAAATCAAAAAAAACAAACACCTCTTTCTCCGACTAGCATTACGCGCCATGTGAAAACACCGAGTCAGGTCGGGCGCAGTGGCTCACGCCTGTAATCCCAGTACTTTGGGAGGCCAAGGCCAGCGGATCACTTGAGGTCAGGAGTTGGGAGACCAGCCTGGCCAACATGGTGAAATCCCGTCTCTACTAAAGATACAAAAATTAGCCAGGCGTGCTAGCGAACGCCTGTAGTCCCAGCTACTCGGGAGGCTGAGGTAGGAGAATTGCTTGAACGCAGGAGGCAGAGGTTGCAGTGAGTCGAGATCGTGCCACTTCACTCCAGGCTGGGCTACACAGCGAGACTCTGTCACAAACAAAACAAAAAATCCAACGGGCATCTAAATTACACTCTGCAACTCTAGACTTTGGGTTCCAGGTACACCAGTGGCTCGGCCTGGGCCCTGGGCACATCACTTCGCCTCTCGGTGCCTCCGCTGCCTCACCCACAAAGTGAGTGTGTCACTGACAGTCCTCGTCCTCCTGCCAATTGCGGGGGACAAAACAGACCAAAGCTCCGAGGGCACCGTACGAATGCTGGGGACGGCCGGTCTGACCACGGCGCCGCCGCCGGATCCGGCCCATGGTAGGCTCCGGTGACGCTCTTCCCCTGGAGCACCCGCAATCGCCTCTGCTCAAATTGGTGACCTCAGCTCGGCCCATGAGAAACCCCGGCTGGGCCGGCTACGACCTTGAGCGGCGGCCTCCGGGTCCCCACGTAAGCCGCTGCCTCTCACCAGTGTTCGGCACCTCCCGATACCAGGCGCGGTAGAGCTCGCGCACCCTCCGCTTGGCCTCGTTCATGTCCCGACTGAAAATGGGCTTCACAAAGGTGCTGGCGGTAGACGCAGCTTGGCGGACGCCGCTCGCCGCCATCTTGCCAAAGTATCCACTCCACAACCCCACCTCTTTGCTAGCCGCGGGTGCGACCCGCGGGCAAATGTCTTTTCTCATTGGCTGAGGGGGAATGCCCCGCCTGTATGCTGGGTGGGCGGGAGGATGACTGTAAGGCTCTCCGATTGGCTGCGAAGCCTCTCTCTGGCTGAGCGAAGGGTGGGGGCTGCGCATGCTCATCTACAGAAGCGCCGCTTGGCCTTTGGACTAACCTATCTGTCGCGGTAACGGGCCGGCGTCGCCGCCAGGGGACGCTGGGGCAGCAGGGTGGTCGCTGGGTGGTGAGCTGGCGCCGAGGACGCCGAGCGACTGCGGGGCTTCTGTCAGCGTCCTGCTATGCGGCTGCCCGCCTCGCTCCCTCGTAGTGTCCGTGGACGCGCAGGCCTTGAAGAACCTCCTCGCGGCGGGCCCCCGAGGTAACTTCTGAGGCAGATAATGGCGCCTGGACTGCGGTGGCGCTTGCCCTGCCGCCTGGCGGCTTTCTGCAGGGCCAGGGTATACTTGTTTTTCTGTAAACCAACTCTTCCTTAGTGCAGGAGAGGTGTCAAAGCGCCGGCGCGTCTCCAGAGCCCCGGGAGGAAGGCTGTAACGGCAGCCCCGTCGTAGACAGGGACATTCGCATCCCGAGCCCTGGATCTCTGAAAAGCAGACCAGAATTTGGAAGCTGGAAGGAACCTTAGATCGTCCATTCTGGGTGTCTCTCTTCGCTGGCGTTTTCCCACGAGAGGAACCTACAAGTGTCAAGGAAAAAAGGACAGCTAACCACAGGGCAGGCCACGGGCAAGATATCTCAGTGTTCTCCGCTCTCAGGTCAGGTAGGTACCGTCGGCATCCCCATTTTACAGATGAGGAAACTCAGGTGGCCCAGAGTCTAGGTCACGTGACAGATCGCCCCCCACCTGCCTGACTCCTGCCTAAGAGTCTCGGTCTTTTTCTGAAGGTGCAGTTGACAGGAGCCTGTGAGTACTGGGGAAGGGCCAGGGGCCAGGACTGAGCTTACCCCTGCATCTAGTCCAAACTTTCCCATTTCGAAGGTTTAAAAGACCAGATATACTTTTTTCTTCCTTATTATCTTTTAAAATGTATATGTATATTCAAGTGAGCTATAAAAAAGGAAGCACGTAACATACATAAATTATAAAGCATAATAATAAAATGGAAGCTTTTGAACTTCAGGACTGACTTAAGAAGTTGTAACACACTTAAGGTTTATATGAAGTGTCCTTAGATGTCCTTAGTAGCCACTGTTCTCTAGTTTTCTAGGTACATTAACTTGGCTATGCCCCACAACACACCAGTGAGATAGTGTTGATATATCCTTTTTTTGTTGTTGTTGAGACAGTGAGACTCACCTAGGCTGGACTGCAATGGTGCAGTTAGAATCACACAGGTAGATAACATGGTATAGGTGCTGTGAGAGTCAGAAAACCGACTGTGGCACCAGCTGCCTGGGCTTCAACCCCAATGCTGTAAAGTAACTTAGTCTCTTTGTGCCTCAGTTTTCTCATCTATAAAATGAGTATATCAGCCGGGGGTGGTGGCTCACACCTGTAATCCCAGCACTTTGGGAGGCCAAGGTGGGTGTATCACCTGAGGTCAGGAGTTCGAGACCAGCCTGGCCAACATGGTGAAACCCCGTCTCTACTAAAAATACAAAAATTAGCTGGCGTGGTGGTGGGCACCTGTAATCTCAGCTAGTCAGGAGGCTGAGGCAGGAGAATTGCTTGAGCCTGGGAGGCGGAGGTTGCGGTGAGCCAAGATTGTGCCACTGGACTCTAGTCTGGGCGACAGAGTGAGACCCTTTCTCAAAAAAAAAAAAAAAAAACCTCTAAACAACTTACAAACCGGGAGAAAAATTTTGCAAATCACATGGTCCATAAGGGACTTGTATCTAACATACATAAAATTCTTACAACTCAATAATGAAAAGACAAATAGCCAAATTTAGAAATGGGCAAGGGTGGCAACACAAGTACTGGTGAGGATGTGAAGCAACAGGAACTCTCCTTACTGGTAGGAATGCAAAATGATACAGCAACTTTGGAAGACAGTTTGGCTTTCTTACAAAACTAAACATACTCCTATCAGAAGATCCAGCCATTGCACTTCTTAGTGTTTACCCAAATGAGCTGAAAACTTATGTCCACACAGAAACCTGCACATGGATGTTTAGAGCAGCTTTATTTGTAATTACCAAAACTTGAAAGCAACCTAGATGTCCGTTAGCAGGTGAATGGATAAATAAACCGTGGTATATCCAGACAATGAACTGTATTGAGCACTAGAAAGAAATGAGCTATTAAGCCGTGAAAAGGCATGGAGAAACCTTAAATGCATATTACTAAGTGAAAGAAGCCAATCTGAAAAAGCTACATACTGTATGATTCCAACTATATTACATCCTGGAAAATGTAAAACTATGGAAACAGTAAAAAGATGGCAGGGGCTGGGAGTGGGGAGAAATGCACAGAGGTGGTGCACAGAGAATGTTTAGGGTAGTGAAATTACTCTGGACGATATAAGGGTGGATACATGTTATTACAAATTTGTCAAACCCTACAGGATGTACAACACCAAGAGTGAAACCGAATGTAAACTATGGGACATGGGTGATACTGGTGTGTCAGTATAGCACCATTGCTTGTAACAAATGTTTCTTCTGGTGCCTGATGTTGATGGTGTGGGGAGGCTCTGAGTGTGTGGGGGGTAGGGGAACCCTGTATTTTCTGTTCAGTTTTGCTGTGAACTCAAAACTGCTCTTAAAGATGAAATTTTTATTTTAATGGGCAAATTATTTGAATAACCATTTCTCCAAAGAGGATATACAGATGACCAATACGTATATGAAAAGACATTTAACATCATGAACCATTAGGGAAATACAAATCAAAGCCCTCATGAGATAGCATTTCTCACTCAGTAGAATGGCTAGAATAAAAAAGACAGATACAGCCAGGCACGGTGGCTCACGCCTGTAATCCCAGCACTTTGAGAGGCCAAGGCTGGTAGATAACTTGAGTTCAGGAGTTCGAGACCAGCCTGGCCAACATGTTGAAACCCCTTCTCTACTAAAAATAGGAAAATTAGCTGGGCATGGTTGTGCGTGCCTGTAATCCCAGCTACTAGGGAAGCTGAGGCAGGAGAATTGCTTGACTCGGGAGGTGGAGGTTGCAGTGAGCCAAGGTCACACCATTGCACTCCAGCCTGGGTGACACAGCAAGACTCCATCTCAAAAAAAAAAAAAAAGAGGACAAAAGTTAGTGTTGGCAAAAATGTAGAGAAATTAGAACTTTCATACTTTGTTGGTGGGAATGTAAAATGGTGTAGCCATTTGAGAAAACAGTCTGGCAGTTTCTTAAACAGTTAAATATAGCCAGGAAGAAGCATCGCTTGAGCTTAGGAGTTTGAGACCAGACTAGGCAAAATAGACTCTATTTAAAAAAAAAAAAAAAAAGTTAAACGTAGACTTACTATATGATCCAACAATTCCAATCCTAGGTACTTACCCTGAAGAAATTTTTGTCCACACAAAAACTTGTATGCAAATGTTCATAGCAGCATTGTTCACCATAGCCAAAAACTAAAAACACCCAAATGGCTATCAGTTGATAAATGGATAAATAGAATGTGGTCTGTCAGCCAGGCATGGTGGCTCATTCCTGTAATCTCAGGATTGCTTGAGGCCAGGAGTTTGAGAACAGCTTGGGCAACGTAGTGAGACTGCATCTCTACAAAAATTAGTTTAAAATAGCTGAGCATGGTGGTACGTGTCTGTAGTCCCAGCTACTCAGGAGGCTGAGGTAGGATTGCTTGAACCCTGGAGTTCGAGCTTACCATAAGCTATGATCCTACCACTGTACTCCAGCCTGGGTGACAAAAAAACAAACCTAAACAAAACCCAAAATAATGGTGATATGGTTTGGATGTTTGTCCCCTCCAAATCTCATGTTGAAATGTCATTCCCAGTGTTGGAGTTGAAGCCTGGTGGGAGGTGAATGGATCATGGAGGCAGATCTCTCATGAACAGCTTCGCACCATCCCCTTGGTGATGAGTGAGTTCATCTGCAATCTGGTTGTTTAAAGGTGTATGGCATCTCCCGCTTTGCTCTCTTGCTCCTGCTGTCACCATGTGACATCCCTGCTCTCCCTTTTCCTTCTGCTGTGATTGGAAGCTTCCTGAGGCCCTCACCAGGAGCAGATGCTGGAGCCTTGCTTGCACAGCCTGCAGAACTCTAAGTCAATTAAATCTCTTTTTTTTCCTCTCTCTCTCTTTTTTTTTTTTTTGAGGTGGAGTCTTGCTCTGTTGCCCAGGCTGGAGGGTGATGGCACGATCTCAGCTCACTGTAACCTCTGCCTCCTGGGTTCAAGTGGTTCTCCTGCTTCAGCCTTCCGAGTAGGTGGGATTATAGATGCACGCCACCATGCCTGGCTAATTTTTGTATTTTTAGTAGAGGCAAGGTTTCACCATGTTGGTCAGGCTGGTCTCAAACTCCTGACCTCAAGTGATCCACCCACATCAGCCTCCCAATGTGTGGGATTACAGTCATGAGCCACCACGCCCAGCCTAAACCTCTTTTCTCTACGAATCACCCAGCCTCAGGTATTTCTTTATAGCAATGCAAGAAGGGCCTAATACATGTGGTATATCCATGTAATGGATACTGTTCAGCAATGTTGAACCCTGAAAATACACTAAGCGAAAAAAGCTAAACACAAATAGCACATATCATATTGTTCTCCTTATATAAAGGATTCAGAAGAGACAAATCTATAGAGACAGAAGATGAGTGGTTATCAGATGCTGAGAGTGAAAATGGGGACTGAATGTGAAAGGCACAAGGTTTCCTTTTTTCTTGGGCAGGGGGCAGTGGACAGAGGAGTCTCACTGTGTCACCCAGGCTAGAGTGCAGTGGTGCGATCTCGGCTCACTGCAGCCTCCGTCTCCTGGGTTCAAGCGATTCTCTTGCCTCAGCCTCCCAAGTAGCTGGGATTACAGGCGTGCACCATCACACCTGGCTAATTTTTGTATTTTTAGTAGAGACAGGTTTTTGCCATGTTGGCCAGACTGTTTTCGAACTCCTAACCTGTGATCTGCCCATCTCGGCCTACCAATGTGCTGGGATTACAAGGGTGAGCCACCCTGCCCGGCCTTAAGGTTTCTTTTAAGACTGATGGCAATACTCTAAAATTAGTTTGTGATGACAGTGTACAACTTTTAAAATATACTAAAATTTGGCCGGGCGTGGTGGCTCAAGCCTGTAATCTCAGCACTTTGGGAGGCCGAGACGGGCGGATCACGAGGTCAGGAGATCGAGACCATCCTGGCTAACACGGTGAAACCCCATCTCTACTAAAAAAGTACAAAAAATTAGCCGGGCGAGGTGGCGGGCACCTGTAGTCCCAGCTACTCGGGAGGCTGAGGCAGGAGAATGGCGGGAACCCGGGAGGCGGAGCTTGCAGTGAGCTGAGATCCGGCCACTGCACTCCAGGCTGGGTGACAGAGCCAGACTCCGTCTCAAAAAAAAAAAAAAAAAAAAAAAATTCATTTAGTTTTACACTTAAAATGGGTGAAGGAGATATTTTATAGTATGTAAATTACATCACAGTAAAGCCACTGAGGGGCGGAAATGGCCCTTGATCATTTTTTAAATGTGTAGAGTTCAGTGTAATTTAGTGAATGGTGCCTTTTTGCTATCATACCTTAAAAAGGGGAAAAAAACCTTATTTATTCTTATTAACAAGAGTGATTTTAGAAAATTGGGAAAGAACAGAACAGTTCTGAAAATAAATATCCTCCATAGTGATAGAGGCAATG